GGCATTTTCTCTACGTATTTCATTCCCTTTGGTCTGACTCTTCGCCCACTATGATGGTTCCAGCGCATTTTTATAATGCATAGTATATACAATAGAGGAGTATACTCTAAGGGGTCGTTTGGTAGGGTGTATAAGAATAGTGCGGAACAAGGTGTACTAGTAATGCAAGCATTAGTTATGCAGATATTATTTCTTATCTACTGTTTGGTGTGGTGTATTAAAATTATAATGCATTGCCTAATTTTTTAAAAAAATAGTTGTTTACAAAAATGTCCTCCATATTCTCTAGCTTTAAGTGACTTTAAGGACAATTTTGTCTTTAACCATACCAATGCATGCATTAAAAGCCTTGGTATTACTAATGCCATGGTTTTCTATGCATTACTTATACATAGGATAATACCAAGTATGAGGTATAACTAATACAAGTATTAGTTATACACAGATTGAAAAAATGTACCAAACAAGGTTTTAATAATGCATAGAGCTAATGCTTGCATTATTTTTTCTAATACCTCCTACCAAACGACCCCTAACAAAATTGGGTGGAATTGTGTTATAGAGGAATAGTGTTCGACAATATTTCTTTTAGGATTTAACTTCGATCCCGCTGGTGATCTTATGTGTGTGTCATTATTGATTCTTGATATACTCATATCACATATTTTGTTCATGAAAATGCTTAGCAATACCAACGGAAGAAGTAAATGCAGGGCTTCAATATTTTGCCTGATCTGCGCTTGAAGGTTTTGTTCTTTTTCTTCCTCTCTGGATATATCTTTCTTCTAAAGATTTTATTTGTTTTTAATCATCTCAGTCTTTCTACTACTAAGAAATAAAACTTACGCTGATAACTTTGAACTGTTTGTTACCTGGTCATTTAATTTTTGGCCTTGAAATGTTGTCCTTAGTTTGGCGATTCAATTGGTTTGACAAGAAAACAATTTCATTGGAAATCTTCGAAGCTAAATATATATCTTCAGATATCTGAGATTGATAATATTAGTTAGTGATTTCTCTCCTTTAACAAGGCTGTTTATTTTCGTCCAGCTTCATCTCTGTCATGTACCTCAGCAATCCAATTGGCCTTCAACCTGAGGCCCTTAGCATTCTGTCATAAAGGGAAAGAGATGTAACCTAGTAAAAAGATACATCTCTTTGATACCTTAATTAGATAGTATAAATGACAAAAAGAGAGGAATTTCAAGCAAGTTACAGCACACTAATGTTATGCACGGGTGCGGGTGTCCGACACGGTGCAGATCTTTCGAGATGTAAATTCTAAGATTCGGCATACGGATCCTTGTATGGATACAAGTGCAGGATTCCGTCTAAAAATAACTAAAGAAAAAAATAAAAATATAAAAATATTTCCAAATTATGATAAATTTTGTGAAATACTTACGTATAGTTTGTAAAGTGTGGATATCTTATGATGATTATAGCTGAACTGCATACCCGATTGTGAAATACTTACTCATCAGAATTTTGTTGTGGGCTTGTGTTCTTTTCATACTACAACAAACCCAGTAGTTTCCCATAAGTGTAAGATGTACGCAGCCTTACCCTTAACCCTGGAAGGGCATAGAGGCTGTTTCCGATAGACACTCGGCTAGAGAACAACGTGTTCTTTTCATATTGCATGAGATAAATCATAGATCAAATAAGCAAGTTTGATATCTAGTTGGCTTTTATAATTTTTAATTTATTTCTTTCATTGCTTGATCTTTCTATTATCAGTGTTTTGCTTGGTTCATAGTGAGAATTTTAAAAACTCAAGGTCAAAAGTTTTTCTTTTATAGCTTAAAGGAATAAATTCCAAGTATATTTGGAACTGTCATGATTTACTTTAAGATTAGCTCATAATGGTATTAAGTAGTTTGCTTTTCCTTTCTGCCTCTACTTCTCAAGATTCTATCCTTCTCTTTTCTTTTGAGATGAGATATCTCCGGGACTAATTTTTATTAGTATAACAAGGGCAGAGCGAAGAACCAACTGTTTGTAGTTTACCCGGACTTGGGACATAAATTGCCTGGCTATAAAGTACGTCGTTGTTGTATAAAGTATGATGTCTGATTGCGTGCAACTTTGAGGTTTGCTCGGCTAAATTTTCTGCTGGTTAAGGAGATTTCTAGCATTGATGTTGGGTCAACGACTCAATAAAAACACTATCTGGTACAAAGCTGTGGTGCTATAAGCCTATAGGTAGACAATAAATAGATGCATATTTTCGGTGTTCATCTTGTTTCTAGTAGCAGACTATGTTGCTCGGACTCTAAGAAAATATCGATGCGTGCGTGTCGGATCCTCCAAAAATTTGTGTATCATCCAGCCAGTGTCCCAACATTCTTCATCTAGTAAAACTTTACACATCCTAAGGGCGGTATGTTCTTGATCATGATAACTTGGTTGCAGTGATTTGATCGAAAACCTAGTTGCAATCTGGCAAAATCTGTTGTAAATTGTGTCTTATGTACGTACACTTAGCAATTCGGAAACCTCCTCACACGTGCAAGTTCCTCATTTCGGAGTTTTTATTTGCTTGATTGCATTTGTACAATGGCCATAGCTTGGCAAAAAGACAATTGGTGTAAAATCGTTAGTCAAAGTTCTTCTGTTCTGAGTAATTTGGAAAAAAGTGTAATGTACTGAGAGTTTTTGGGTTTTTTTCTCCTTAAAAAGATAATTCATCCTCCACTTTTTAGTTTCTTAAAGGTGGAAAGAAAAAAGAAATACTTGTCCCTTTAGAGTCCTAGCGAGAAACCCCACGAAACTTAAGAGCCCGTTTAGACAATTTTTCCCATTTTTTACAAAAAAAATCAAAATCAGAGTTTGGTCATAATCAATTTCACTTGAAATGCATTTTGAATTTTTCAAAAATTTGAAAAACTCCAAAAAGCTATTTTTCAAAATTTTCACTTAGATCACTCACAAAACTTTAAAAACAGCCCAAAATTATATTCATGTCTAATTACAACTCTAATTTTCTAATACTATTTTCATTGAATTTTTTTTTCATTTTTTTTTGGAATTTTACAATTCTTATGTCCAAACGCCCACTTAAGTTTGTGAAGTTTAGGATTATAAGTGTTTCTGGTAACTTGGGGCAATACAGTTTTGTAAGGGCAATTGTGATTCGAATTACGAAACTATAACTTTAGATAGGTTGTCTTTATGAGAGAAAGGGGTAAATTTTGAAATTATCAGTTATATTCTGATTCATAATTTCGTTTTTTTCCATTTTTCTTGCAAAAATACAAGGATTTGAATTTTGGATATGATTTTTAAATTTCATGGAATGTAAAAAAAGGTGAAAAGTTAGATTATGGAATCTCTAATTAAAACAGAAATTATAAAAGAGAAACTTAGTTCTTTTAGTTCTTTTCTTTTCTAGGGGAATATCAGCTCCATAAAATAAAAGTAATGGAAAATTATTTCACTTGAACAAAACTATAATTCTTTAACTTCCTTCATAATAAACGACAACTTGTTCATTCGTGCCAAAAGAAAAAGGGACTTGGAGTATGACACAGAAAATATCTAATTTTGATGTGAATGAATATATTTGTTCTTTAACTATTTTGAAATAAAATTAATATTTATACGAAACTATAGTAAAGATAATATAAATACTTCTTGTCAGATCGAATAAAAAAATTTACTTTACAGATAACCAATATAGAAAAAGAATAAACTGCGTGCCAAAAGAAAAGGGGACTTGGAGTATGACGCAGAAAATATCTAAATTTTTATGTGAATGAATATATTTGTTCTTTACTACTCTGAAATAAAATTAATATTTAAAAGAAACTGCAGTAAAGTTAATATAAATACTTCTTGTCAGATCGGATAAAAAAATTTACTTTAGAGATAAGCAATATAGAAAAAGAATAAACACGCAGTAAAAAGATGGGGTTAGGGAAGCTCACTGACATACTAATTATGAGAGCCAGGTTTCAATCCTGGGACCTGTGGGCTCTGATTTGATGACATTTAGCTACAATGTTAAACTATTTAATGACATTGAAGAAAGCAGAGCTAAGCATATTTAAAAGTATATGTTGCATCAAATACTAGTCATAATAAGAGGGCAACAATCCTCAACTCCGGTCTCCGGTCATCCTCTCAGCCGGCGGGAGAAATACAATTTCAGCAGTTCGTTCTGTATCTTTCCTTAATCAATCTGTAAGGGGCTACTGGTAACTGCTCAAATTTCCTACTGATTTTGATTTTCTGTATGCATATCCACCGTGTTGTATGTGTTCTTCCAGTCAGTGGGAAGCTGTGGTGAGACGAGGGCCACCGGAAAATTATCAACAACCTTAGCCGTTCTGGTCCAAAAACCAAAGATGGCTTCCAACGATTCAGCAACTGTAGACCGAATCAGTGAGTTGCCGGATTCTCTTCTCCATCACATTCTCTCTCTCATGACGATAGAGGAGGCATTCATAACGCATGCTTTCTCGAAAAGGTGGCGCTATCTCTGGACTTCACTTTATAATTTTTATTTAAATTGTGAACTTTACAATGAAGAATACGTGTCCTTTGTTGACTATGTATTAGCTCATTCAGTTTCTCCTAAAATAAAAGAATTTGTGCTCTACTTCCATGACCCGAATGAATACAAGTCCGCACTCAGCAGATGGCTTAGTTTTGCTGTTGAAAAGAAAGTGGAAAATGTTGTGCTTTGGTCATATTCTGAGGATGATGCCTGTCCATTGCCTGAATTTTTCTATACCTGTTCGTCGTTGATAACATTAGTTTTGGGTTTTTGTTACTTTGACGCTGGCGTGGTCATATCGTGGAAGTCACTAAAGAGCATAACATTCACGTGTATGGCGTTATCCGATGACCATATTGTGAACTTACAGTTAGGTTGTCCTGCTTTGGAAACTATGGAATTTAACTGTTTTAAGGGTTTACTCACCTGGAAATTAGGTCTTCTAAATTAAAGACACTGAAATTGATAAATTATGGTGACGATGGAACTAGTGATCAGTCCTTGGAAATTGTTGCTCCCTATCTTCAACATTTGGAGATTTCAGGAAGTCTTGATGATTTCAAGTGTAGGCTTGTAGATGTGTCCTCTGTGGTTAATGCTACGCTTACCTTCAACATTACATGTATCAAAGACATCCAGGATGATCATGGTGAAGAAGTTGATGATGAGGAAGATAGTTGTTTGCTGTGTTCGCTTGTGCTGTTCGGATGTTTCCTTTACCCTGATTCGGGAAAATGACAAAAAATTGTGTCTTATGTTTGGAGGTCTAAATAATACCTTAATGGGTCGTTTAAGGTACAAGGTGGGATATAATGTGGTACTATATTTATGTTTGATTGACGATATAAATTTATCACAGGATAAATTAGTTCCCAAATATACCCTTGGCACTTCGGTCTCTGTCAATTATTCTAGCAAAACATTGGTTATTAGAATTAATGAGAACCAGAAACTCACATTACGAGGTATAGTTTTTGCAGTTTATGCTGTTTTTAGTCTATTTCTGATGTCTGATGCAGTTTTTGGGATTTGATGGGATTCTGTTGGTGTTTCTAGTTATATCTTCTCTCTTTTTATTTTTTCATAATTCGCAATTAATCTAATTATTGGAGTTTGTTAAATAGTTGAGACAAAAAAAAAAAAAAAAAAAAAAAAGTTCAGTTTCGACAAACTTAAAGGACTAAACCTACTCAGAAGTATATTTAAGTGAATATTTTACACCTATCCCAGGTATCATCTTTGTCATTTTCTTCCCTGATTGTAGGAAGAGTACACAAAATTAGTAACAGTTGTTTCTTTTAAGTTTTATCCTAATCGTGTTGGACGATCACTCAAGTTTTACGTTTAAATCGTATCCTCAGAATAAATTGATTTAAATTTTTTGATTTGCATTGTTTTAGGTATTTGTTTTTTTTTTAATACCTAGTGATTGATATTCTTTCAAAATCTGGTAAGCTTAACAAGGTAATGATGTGGATGTCTACATTAAAGGCATCTGCACCAAGTGATATTTTACTCATTTTGATCACATTTATATTGGGTACGTTGGCGTGCGTACTAAAATGTTAACAATTCCATTTTTTTTTCCGCTTCTTTCAAATTTAGTCATACTCATGTAAAGTATCTCATTCGAGATTGATAACAAGTAAATCAGTTTTCTTCTTCTTTCACGTAGTCTCTTACGATCTCAAACTCTCTATGCACCTCCGATCCAGTAATTAAAATAAAGACGAAAAAGGTGCAAGAATCAAGAAAGCCATAAGAAAAGATGTATATAAAATAAAATAGTATGATTGAAAAATGGACCTAATACACAAGTAAACATGTTCAGCCTGAATTACTGAATTCTCGTTTAGTGATTTGTCATATATATATATGCTAATTCAGAAAAAAAGCTCATCACAAACGGTACAGTAATATGATGCATTAAACACAAAAATTCCAAAGAGATGTTTGTGGAGGGCTCTCTTTTTCTTCTATGGAGTTCTTGGCTAATTTATTGAAAAAATTAAAGGAATTAACCAACGTTCAAGTCTTAATTCAAAAAAAGTTTCAAAAGATGACTTTTGGGAGGACAAAAAAGTGATGTAGAAGTGAGTCTTTTGTACACCTGTATCATAGATTTTTTGCACGAATTCCATAAGCTGCTGATGTGTAAAAAGAACAAAATAATTAGTGACACCTGCCATTTCGATCAAAATTTAAGAAGTGATTATTAGAAAAATGTTGTAATTGTATTGACCTCCCCCTACGATCTTTTTCTTCTATAGTCTTCCCCCTTTCGATCTTCTTCTTCAATATTTCTTCCGATCCACTTTAATTAATTTTTTACTTATTATTTTGTAGTCCACAATATTTAATTTTTCCAGATATCAAAAAAGAACTAATTTTGTTTAGAAGTTGTCATTGAAGTAAAGAACCTAGGAGTATTTCTTGTATTTTCAATGAGCACATTAAGATTAATGTGATCAATTTCATAATTAATTAATATTAAAGATGAATTTCTTAATATGTGTGAATAACCACAAAATCAATTAAAGTGGACCAAGAAAATAGTAATTTTGTTCTTGATCTTTGTATTAATTCTAAAAATGTTAGTTTGTACGGGTCCACCAAATCGTAGAGTACCTGGTCCTTTACAAGTTTCTGCTGAGAGCACTTGGTAAAGCAGTAAGTAAATGGAGCAGAGGATTTTTACGTGGAAAAAACCCGCACAAGGGGACCAAAAAACCACGACCTACCCTGTAGGCTTTTAACTTCACTAACTTGTAATCTTACCTATTACAAGCCATTTTACAATACTCCCGATTGTAAAGACTTCAAACTAACCTGTGGCACCTTTACCACAAGCCACTTTGTGACTATCCTAGTTACAAAAGCTTTTTCTAACTTGTGGTGCTATCACCACAAGCCACTTTGCAATACTACGATTACAAAGACTTTTCTTTATGACTAAATCTAGCTACAACCCAAACTCAACGAGTTTGAGGATTTACAAGAGGATTCCTAATCAGTAAACTTCTAAGTAAACGATTTAGGAGATATTGTAAGTACAATAACAAGGTTACAACTCAACTAGGACAGCAATAATTAAGAGAACTGGTCCGTTGTGGCATTCAACCTTGTTCTTCAAGCTTGAGAGAATGATCTTTTCTGTTTTTTGCTAAAGGCTTGAATGATGAAACTGAAACCTTTTAGTGATGTTTTGTATAAAAGCCCCTTTGGTACATCTTGATCACATCACTTGAAATGATGTGAGTACTTCGTTTGGTTAGAGAATGAGTGGGCTGACAGTGTGGTGCAGTGCGGCAGAAACAGTGCCGCCAGTCACTTCAGTTCCAGTTGTGTCCAAATGACTTTGTGCTGCTATATAGGAACCACAGGAGCATCAGGTCCTTGTTTGGTTCCTAGCTCCTGTATCCGCAGCAATTCAACTTTTACTGGAGTCCGTTGGAGTTTGCAGCAATCCAAAGTAGTTCAGGTTCCCTAACTGATTCTTATCAGAAAGTTTGTTAGATCATCAAAACATAAGGCAAGAGTATTTAAAGATCTATCAGTTTCCCCTTTTTTGATGATGGCAAACTTAAATATTTATAAGTTCAGAATTAAGGCATCAGAGAGCATGTCAAGGAGTTCCCCCTGAGACAATGCCTAAAGTTACGAGTTCAGAATTAAGAACCAGTTCCAAAATGTGATTCCTCCTGAGTCTCTTTCCCCCTTTTGGCATCATTAAAAAGAATAAAAGGACAAAGAAGTCCAGCCAAGCTAACCCATGCCACATATGTGCACACTATCATGAGGAAAAATAGAAGACAAAGATAGAGTACTAGACAAGACAAAAGAGGAGTTATATTAATAGTTTTAATATGCCTCTTCCTTTGAAAAAAGGAAAGGCAGCATTGGACTTGAATTAGGGGATCAGTAACAGTACATCCCAACCACACAAAAAAACAAAAACAACCACCAACCATCAATATAAAAAAAAAGTCATATCCAGAACACTGGTGACTGAAGGGAAACTTAGGGGGCACTAGGAGGAAAAGGCTTGGAAGTTGAAGCAAGTGTTTGGAGAACAAGGTCTATTCGGGCATTTCCCGACTTTTGCTCGTTGAGCAGTTCAGCCTTTAGGTTCTCAACTTATGCCCTGAGGTCAGCATTTTCTTGGGTCAAACGGATCACCTCATCGTTCGAAATGGGAAACACTCGAGCTTGCTGGCCTTCCAGGATAGCATTCCTGGCCTTCAATCTACGTATCTCCTCAGCTGCGTTGTTTTGGGCATTGATGAGCTGAGACACAGTTGAAGTGCTTCCTACACCCCCATACTTTTCAATACACTCACACTCTTCTAGGGTTGTCTGTGAGAATGTCTACTTACGGGTCCCTACTTTACATGTTCCCAGTGGAACCTCAAAGTATTTGAATACTTGGGTGAGCAAGAATCCATAGGGAAGCCCGTGATTTCCATCCTTGAAATTAGACACTTTCTGCATATGCTCAATCATTATGGCAGGCAAACTCACAGGGTGGAAACCGTCCAATTGCTCCATTAAGAATAAATCAGATTTGGAAGTGACAGATTGCCGTTCTGCTCGAGGCAACAAGACTTTGTTAACCATCTCAAACAACTACTGGTAGACAGGAAGTAGTGCTTTCTTATGGATCTGGTCCCATTTCTGACTGGATTTATCTTTCACCACTGCATTTGGGAAGTTGTACTAGCAAACATCCCGAACACTTGTCATGCCAACTGTAGGAACTTGCAAAATTTCTCCAAGCAGTTTCACGTCAAAGATAATGTCCACACCATTGACCAAAGCACAAACACGGTCAGTATTGACTGGAAACAAATTGGCGAAGAAACTCTAGACCTCCTCTTCATACACTTGGGGAGCATCTACGTAGAAAAGATGCGTCCACTGTTGGAATTCCACCATTTCCAGGATTTGGCGCATTCCGGCCATTTCTGAGATTGGGGTCAAACGTACGCCCCAGCAGAACTTTCTGGTGCCTCAACCGCTCAGAGCCCAGATAGACCTCACTTCATGCTTTCTTTCCAGAACTAGGTTCGTCAACTGTTTCATACTTGCGTTTCCTACGCTTTTCTCCACTGACTTTACTTTTCCCTTTGGACTTAATAAGAATATCCCCATCACTCACTACCTTCTGTATTTTAGACTTGGAAGTAGACCCTTTCTCCAGGGAAACAGACTCGGCCTTTTTCGAGGACTGCCTTACAAGGGAACCGGGTTCCTCAGGAGTTCATTCTTCAACCTCAACAACATGAATAGCTTCATCACCTACAGGTACACCATCCTTCACCAGCTTTCTTCTTTTCTTCTTACTACTTTTCTTTATCTTTTGGAGTGCAGAATCGTAGGCCACTTTGAATTGGAGCCTGGTGGTGGGTTGCTTGATTTCAGACTCAGGAGTCGAAACAATCATTCGCTTGCTTATGAATGCGTCAAGGGCCACATTGTCAAGGTCTTCTTCATCACTAGAGTGCATCTCTGGTCCTTGAATTTCCAGGGGCAGAACATCACATGTAGGAACAACACTATCCTGGGATGAGACTCCTGACCTGGGTCCTCCTGAGAGGGATCAGGTTCTCCA